TCTTTCATCTAGTTATGCTCTTGTAGCATCCCGTGGCACCAAAAGCTGTGAACTGCTAAACCAGGGGACCTCTCTCCAAGTGAAAGCTCGTGTTTCACTCTACAGAGCCGAGATTTGCTTCAGAGGTAGAAAATCCCATCTAACAAAAAACAAAAAGAACGATTTTGTCCTAACTTCGTTGTTTGTAAGTTACAGTTGCTCAAAGTTTGTAATTCAGCCTCTTTGAAATTTTTTCAGACGTCAGCAGTGTCTTTAAATGTCTAGGAAAATTTTTTGTGCCAACTCTTTCTTGGAATAGAGCTTCAGATGCTAAAATAAATTTCAGTTTTTCTTCTCTCTCCTACCCATGTGCCATGATTTAGCTAGTTCTTGACCACACCCATAGCTTATTTTAATTATCATTATAACTATGCAGTCAACAATAATTTTTTTTCAAATTGCTTAAAATATCACAGTACAAGTCACACATATCACTCAGGTGAATTCCAGCAACGAGTCCATTGCACCATAGTGCTTCATTTAAGTTAGCAATGTAGAGTCAACTTCAATATAAAGGTCAATAATACAAACTATACACGCATATAGTGGAATAATTATGTTGGTGGCATTAAAAAATATTCAATTGTGCAGCTACAGTGCCACACATACTGATAATGATAATCATGCCATGCAACGTGGCCTAAAAGATGCTAGCTGTTATAAATAAATACAATGAACACAATACAACAAAGAAACCATGATTATCTTTAGTTTTAATCTACGCTAGCAATAACCACTGCAATGACTAAGCTACGTTGATGCCAACTAATAATTTTGCTCTGAGCTGATGTAGCATGAACATATTCAAGTCACATCACAGGTACATGTATATTTAAAAATGAATCATGTATAAATATAGACAGATTGCATATACTTAGCACTTCGTACTGTCAATTCAGAAGAAAATGATATATATTATGCTCATGTAGAACAATTTAAACCACTGACTACAGCAGTGTAACACCACTTTTGTGTGGAATAAATACAATGAATACAATAATCAAAATTTGCTATGCTATAGTAAGACATATACATTTTATGCTTAATCTTAATTTCAACATATATTAAGAAACATGTCGCTAGCAACATTTAGTCTGCATAGTCAGTGACACTGTTTTAAAAAGCTTCAATCATAGTAGTCTCACCCCGCCCCTTCGCTCTGCAGGTAGCAAAGGGGCAGGGTGAGACTGCAATTATAGCTTCAACTATGTACACATTATATCATTAAGGCATCATTTATATAGTGTACTTCTGTACTCTCTACCAAGAGAAAGTGAAAACCACTGTTGTGCAGTTTAACTGAGGCACATCATAGTTGTAAATATAAACACCATGTGCTAGTTAATTTTGGAGGAGATAAATTTTGGCAAATTGCAAAATTTTTGGTGATTGGCCGATTTTTAATTTGGCAAATTTGTGGCCATGTGCAAATGGCTATTAAAATTTTAAATTCGCCAAAATGCATTTCCTCCAAAATTAACTCGTATATAGTACCTGGTTGGTGCAAGCCCTGTAGTAAAACAAAATAGGAACTATGAGTTATCATAATGTTCTTTGAATAATAATGATTTGCTACTATTTTAGTACACTAAAGACATTCATCTCATTACTGACTTCCTGTTCATTTATAGAATGATCATGATGATGTCAGTGTTACTATTTATAGTTTGCTAGTATAAAAGGCAGTTGCACCATTGCAAAAACTGGTGTATCAAGCCATAATGTCTTCGATGCTAACAAAACGATTAACAATTAAAGATCTTCATCAGTGTATGGCACTGGCTAATCCCATCAAAACCCGCTGGAGACCAGTAGGATTAGCTCTGAAAGTTGATGCTAATGAACTAGCAAGTATAGACATTGATTTTAAATTTTGCGAAGATAAACTACGTCAAGTATTTCAGTATTGGTTAGAGAGAAATGTAATCGAAGATTTTTCCATGAAAGATGCAACATGGAAAGATTTGCTAGAAGCAATTAAAAAAGATGGAAAAAAACCAGGTTTAGCAGAAGAAATAATGAGAAAGCTAGAACAAGAAGAGCAAGAACGAGAGCAACAAGAACGAGAACAGCAAGAACGAGAACAGCAAGAACGAGAACAGCAAGAACGAGAACAGCAAGAACGAGAACAGCAAGAACGAGAACAGCAAGAACGAGAACAGCAAGAACGAGAACAGCAAGAACGAGAACAGCAAGAACAAGAACAGCAAGAACGAGAACAGCAAGAAAAAAAAAAGGAAGAACACAATTGTTTAAAAAAGAAAAAAAGCATAAATAAAAGTAAAAATCCAGCATCAAAAAAAGGAAATTTTCCAAAAAAAAAAGTTGGTGCTAAAAAGATGCATCCAAGCAAAAAGGATGCTTCTCTGGATGAAATTGATGATTGTTGCCAAGAAAATGGTACCATTCAGCTTTACAGGGATACATCAGAAAAAACCATTCAAAAACTGCAGAATGAAGATATAACTCCTCTTTATAACGAAAATACATGTACATGTGATATTTCTTTACTTGATGATAGAACTACTGAAGATGTTGTTGAAAAAGACAGTACAGTAAAAATAGCAGAAGAAAGTCTTGTTTCAGATGACATTCCTCCCATTCTACCATCAGGCATCACAAGTTCAATTATTATTATACGACAAGTAGAATTTAATTATACATGTCTCCAAGCAGTGTTCCCTCACATTAACCTTAGCTATAGATCTGGACGACAGCAAATAAAGAGATCTGTCAAATCGTTACCTGCCAATAACAAACTTTTATTGTATGACTACACTGCCAGCAATAATATTAGTATTCATGAAGAAGTATATCGTAAGGAAGTTGAGCATCTCTTTAAAAAATGTCCAGATCCAGATTTAATCATCTTCTGCACATCCATGCCAAATAAATTGCAAAGCCCAGAGAGGATCAGAGAAAATGAAAAGAATGCAATTAGAGCACTATCACATTTTTTTAAAACAAAGCTCTGGACAAATACACTTTTCTTTTATTCTACAAAACGTAATGTCAACGAAACACCAATTCAATTTGAGCAAAGACTCAGCAAAAAAGATCAACATCTCACAAAGTGTGTATCTCAAACATTTATACCTTCTACTATAATACCAATTAAAAGCATCTACCTTGATGCTAAGAAGAAAACTGTAACTACTACTGAAAAAAATGACATTTTCAAAGCAATGGAAGAACGCAGCACAGCACAAGCAAGGCCAATACTGTATTCATACTTGATGAGTAACACGTAATGGGTGGTAAAACATGGAATTAACATTATTTATTTATATTGTGTGTGTATGTGTGTCTTATTGTTATCATTATCTTTCAAAATCAATTTAAAGTACATGTATGCAAATGTCCCATGTAGCAATTTTATAGCAGCAGGCCACACAAAAGTCACAAAATACACTATAACACATGAACTGCAGAGCCTGCGGTTAATCAGTTATTCATTGTTGTATAAATTGCATTATTGGTTAGTAATTTATGCATGCATGATTACATGATGCCAGGAGCCCATAAAAAATAGGTTATTGATGATGCTTACCTTCAGTTTCAGTTGAGTTTTTAATGTACACAAATCCAGCCAGAGCAAGAGCAATCCTAGAGCTCTCCAGTGACAGTACATCATTAATAACTGAAGATGATACAGTATCATTAGCATTCCATTGATCTTCAATATACAATGAAAACTGAGCACTACAAACAATGAAACAACATTGATTAAAAACTAAGAACCCATACTGACATGTGTATAGCATATAGCAAGTTTTCATGGCCCAAAATTTCACAAATTCACTCAAAAAATCAATTTATTCCGGCAATACTGTATTGTATTAAATCAGGATTGTATTTTTGTTAATTGCAAGAAAATTTTGGGCCTTAAAATATGTTATAATGTTATTGTACTAACCAGTTATTGCAGGAGTGCTTGGTGCAGTTTCTTGATCCTATTACATTCATCACTGCACAATATGGAGGGACCTGTTGCTCTCTCCATTGGAGTTGTCTTTCATGACACAGCAACGAGAGAACAAGTGAAACCAGTGACTGGCTATCTAGCCAGGCATCTGAAGAGATGTTTGCAAATGTTAAATATGCAAATTCTTTAGTTACAGTACCTAGTATACATATTTTTTAGTATTATATACATAATATTGTTATAAATTTATTTTGAGTTCATTTTACCAGTGTTTGAGCATTCTCTGAATTCATCTTTTCTTGAAAAACAACTTGAAATGCTGCAATTTCCTACACAACAAGCCAAACAGCTTATAAAGCATAGAAAAGCTACATAAAAGGAAAAGTGAATGAACGCCATTTTAAAGGCGTGGCTGCTAATGGGTGGGGCTAGATCTAATTAATTTTGTTTCTAATTAAAGAGCACCACTGAATCTGCTAAAGATGGCTACCAATTGTAAGGAAGTTACTTTTTTCTAGTGAAACCTAACCTTTCTCTCTTGTTGTACAGGTAGCGAGTTGACTAGTTGTCCAGGGATGTTTTGTGGCCGCTTGAACTTGACCAACTCCTGTTTCTCTTCTTGTCAGGTAAAGAGATAATCAATTTATAATTTAAGGAAATAAATGATGAGTGTCATTTACTTTCTATT